GATATGTCTTTCAAAGTTATGAGGGATACTTAGACAGGGAATTATACCCTTTGATCCTCCTAAAACTGGCCATGATACTTTGAAAATTTCAGACTCAACGGGTGTTTATAATCCCCACCAGATAATGAGCAGGTAGACAAATGCATTATTCTGAGGAAAGATATGTTCAACTTAAGAGAAATGGAAATGAACCTGCTTGCAATATCAGTATATTTGATCTGGAAAATATAAATTAAAAATTGAAATAGATTAAATATTAATAATAGAAAAATTATAAATGTAAATAAATCGGCAGAGCATGGGGAGCTCCCACAACTGGAATCACATAGTTTGTTACGCTACTACTCTTTACCCCTTACAATTAAAATGTGACAATGTTTCAAAAATGAATTTGATATGAAAAGGGTGACAACAGAGGAGAAGAAATGCCATTGAATTCTACTGGCAATGCTCCGATCACATAGGCGAGCATAAGTTCTCACCAACTGTAGGGTGCACAAATCTTTCCTTCAGGTTGTGGCCTGGCTATGTGGGGCTCTTCTAGAGCTCTGATGCTGCAGTAGGCTGTGTGATGACAGCTTCGAGTAGGTGGGCTGATGGGTTTTGTACACTACAGTGAAGGCTTTTGGTTTTCAAACTGCCATAGTCCCATTGCACTACACTTCTGCAGGCTGACAAATATGAGAATCAGGCTATCTGTTTTAGGCGAAAGAAGGACAAAGATTGAACTCTTCATGAAGAGTGCGTACATAGGAAAACAGAGAAGATGAAACCATAGCTGCCCTGAAAATGTCACAGGCGTGTCTAAAATTTTTGCATGTTTTGGTGCCTCAAAAGGTAGCCTGCAGCTATCCTAATGCTCTCTCAGAAGCATGGTGCTGGGAAAATCCACGGATCCATTTTTCTACTATGCCCCACCTTACCAGCAAGCAGGTGGCAGGGAAATGGGTGCTGTGAAGAGGGACAGCGACTTTACAGCCTTCGCTCCCAGACCACGAGGAGCAGTAACAGAGCTGCGGTGAGGTCCCTTCCTTTCACAGGATCCCTCCACCTGCATGCCACCCCTTCTGCAGGGTGCAGTCCAACAGCTCTGGTCCCTAACGTTTATCAGGATCTTCTGGAAGTGCTTAGAGGTAGCAGTTACTGTAGATAATTACTCTTCCTTAAACTCCATGTGCAGTGCACTCTATGCACTGCTGACGGTACCTCAAAAATAAACCACAGAAGAGACTTTTGCTATTGGTATCGTCTGTTTCTTGTCACCTTTCACACTGGGCATGTGATTTCTGATGAAATTAAAGAATTCAACTCACAATTTCACAGAGGAGGCAAACACATTCAGGACTAGTAATAACTACTGGAGATGTTAAAAAAGGTGCAAGGTGATTTGCAAAACATACTTGTCTCCTTTACTCTTAGATATGCCAACCAGTTTCTCAATGCCGCCTGCGTCTCGTAAGGCCTTGGCATTCTCCATGTTTTTAGTGATGACTTCATGCAGAGTGCAGCAAATGGCAGTAACGGTGTCATCAGACATGGCCTTGCTCGCTGAGCTGTTGCTGCTGTTAGCGCCTGGCAGTCGGTGGACCAGATCCCTCATGGCATACTTGCCTTTGTTGAAAGAAAATGAAGGGAGAATTCAGAAGATACAGTAACAAAGGGTGATGGAGAAGAAGTACAGGGAAAACACGCAAGACTATTAGCACCATTTGCATCACTGCATGTAATCTAATTGACTACTGATACTATTTTGGAGCAAGCCACATTTATATGATTACATGTTCAAGCATTTTACATGTTAGGGACTTCGAATGTTTCCATATTACACCAGCTTGAGACTTCAGATATGGGCTACATCATGCCCTTACCAGAATGAAATGGTTATAGAACAGGCCAAGTATATGTACAAAGACAACCTGAATACCACAACTTCCAGAGCTTGGCAAGTCCTCATCTCCCATCACACAACTCACAACTCAAGTTACTACATATAAAATGTGCATCAGTCATTAAAAACGCTACAGCGAATGCAAAACCAATGACTTTTTTACTTGTGAAAAAGTATTCCCTGAAGGACCAGTTTCATTGAACAAGGTTAATTCTATACTTCATGCAGTAATTTAACTGGGTTTATTAGTGTTTCTACGACTTTATTACTTATCCAGTGCTCAGAGATGACACTGCACTCTTACACATATCCTTAGTCGCATGCATGGTACTGACCAGAAAGGAAGCCTTTCTGACATCTATTCCTGTCAAGTTTTTAGAGATTATTTTATATAACACCACCTTCCAGAATTAAAATCTCCTAAAATTAAGGGTGCAACAAATTTTTAAAACAGTCACACTGAAGACATGAAAATGACATTCTGTTGATTATTATAACTTTTTTCACGTTTAAATGAACAAGTTGTGTTTTTTTGCATAATTGTGCTGAAAGTCATGTAGTGCTTGTGAAAAAAACATCAGAGCAGCTTCTGAGAATTTATACATATATATATAGTATATATGTAAATGTAAATATATATAAGTGTAGGGCAGGGTTAGCACTGGCACAGATATACGAGAAGCCTCACATCAGTTTTAGGGGTTCACTATTACAGTAAAATGGGAGCTCAGTCCTTCAACGCAATGAAGACAAGATCAGAGAGGGCAAGGGCCTGATGAAGTTGTTGCTGAGGTCAGTGAAACAACTCTGAATCGGCTACAGTGCAGCTGTGCTAGGAATTTGCATGCAGCAATCACCATGAGAGTGTATCACGCAGGACTAAAAGGACAGGAAAATTGGGAAAAATAAATAGTAATCTAATCTACATCATATTTTATGAATGAAATAATCAGGTATGATTATTGTATATAATATGATAATTTAATCAGATTTTTTGATAACTAAGAGCTCTGATCAATTAGTATTTATGGGTACTCATTAAAAATCTTACTTCTGAATTCATAAATTCAGTAGTATGTGTCCATATTTGAAAGCAGAGGTAAGAGGAAAATCACATCTTTTAACTATCAAATGTTAAACTATTTTTATCTCTTACAATTTTGCCTGCTGTGGTAGAAATACAGCCAGTCTTTTGGAACAGAATATACATCGTACACATAAAAACTAGAATCTCTGTACTCAAATGTTACAGGTTATCAAATAGATTTTGTGGTAATGCGAGATCTTGGAAACTACTCACTCTATATCATGTAAAAACATTCCTGATAATAAAAAGCATAACATTACCAATAAAATGTGTGCGGTAGGATTTGAATCTTACTGGTGCGCTCAATACAAATACAAATCTTGTCCTCAAACATTTTTATTTCTTTGTACTTAATATTTAATAGGTCATTTGCATTATTACTGTTTCAACACTATTATTAATATCAGATGTAGTACAGATGTTAAGATCACTTTCTCTTTCAGAAATGGTTTGTTTGAGCAAACTGAAAACGTTTTTTCCCCACACATATATGGGACACCATTCAAGAACAGCCTGACATGCTATTTACATCTGCATCTGTTTGTTCTATGTAACATGAACACATTAATAGTTGCTTATCGCTTATGGCGATTACTTCAGTCTGTAGCACACAGTAAATTAACCTTGTGTATCAAAAAAATAAAATAAACCATGATTTGCTGTAGCTTTTGCTCTTTTAACGCCATGTCCGCCATGGGTTAGGACTAAGTACAAGCAGATAAATCAGATCAGTGAGACTTTCTGCTTTAGCCTGCACACCCCATCTGGAGTACTCTGTCCAGTTCTGGGCTCCCCACTTCAAGAAAGATGAGGAGCTGCTGGAGAGAGTCCAGTGGAGGGCTACGAGGATGATGAGGGGACTGGAGCATCTCTCGTACGAGGAGAGGCTGAGGGAGCTGGGCTTGTTCAGCCTGAAGAAGAGAAGGCTGTGAGAGGACCTAATATATATTTATAAATATCTCAAGGGCAGGTGTCAGGAGGATGGGGCCAAACTCTTTTCAGTAGTGCCCAGCTACAGGACAAGGGGCAATGGGCACAAACTGAAGCACAGGAAGTTCCGTCTGAACATGAGGAAGAACTTCTTCCCTCTGAGGGTGACAGAGCACTGGAACAGGCTGCCCAGGGAGGTTGTGGAGTCTCCTTCTCTGGAGATATTCAAGACCCGCCTGGACAAGGTCCTGTGCAGCCTGCTGTAGGTGACCCTGCTTTGGCAGGAGGGTTGGACCAGATAACCCACAGAGGTCCCTTCCAACCCCTAACATTCTGTGATTCTGTAAAGTTCTTTTTTCCTTCTGTACCACCACCTCAGTCCTCTTGTGGAACCAGATGACAGCGATCTTTCCATTAGCAGCCAAAGACCGTGTCCCTTAGCACTGGGTATAAGGAAATCTGGATGGCTGCCCCAAGCGGATTTCTTTCTCCGAGCTGGCCTACTATTCCAGGCAATGGCATTCATGCCAGTACACATGCCCAGACACATAAGATGCTTCTTACAATAAACAAAGGCTTTGGAGCTATCAGGAAAAGCTCAGTAGGAAAAGTAAAATAAACACAGTCCAAGCATGTTATAAGCATTCTGGACATGTTCATGCTCAACAGTTCTATTATTTCTGCTGTGCACACAGCTAAGTTAGGCATGAGAAGATCAAATCAGTATTAAGATACTTCAAAACAGTAAAGCAGGCATCTTACAGGCAATGTGTAACAACGAGACAGTACAGCATCCCTTATTCTGAGCGGCTGTAGTAATTCCAGCTCAATAATACTACTCAATTCTTAATCAGTTGCGTATTTAAACTAAAATATATTCTGGGTGTTTTGGGGTTTTTCCCCTACGGATTGCATCTAATTTAGCCTTTGGACAGAAATTGCCAGAAGACTCACAGCGCATTTTGTAGACCTAAAATCTCATCAGCGATCCTCGACTTTGGATTAGTGTGTGTTACAACCTGCAGAGCGTTTGCATTTCAAATTATTTTGTCGACATTAAGAACCTCTTCTGAGGGCAGACTGAAACACAGAAATGGAAACTAGTCTTGTAATGTCAGCAAAGTTTCATCTAGCACTACTGCTAGGAAGGCTGGGGAACTCAACTTGTAGCTCAAGAAGTCTCCCTGAGCTGAGGAAGTGAGAACTGCTGAGGGGCCTGGGAAGGGAGGAGGTTGCGTGTGAGAATCGTATTAAAAATAAACAGCATTGTTCATTTTTCTTAGGGTTCATACAGAACTGCTTTAATCTACAAATAAATTATTTATTTGAGCAACTGTAAGACCCAAAACTGATTTGCTGCTTTATAAAGAGGATTTACAGAATATGATTAAACATAATCACCAGCTTGACAAGGAAAAAAGAAATCATATTAATTTCATTCACTTGTAAAGGCAGGAAGACGTTAAATAGCCGTAACGTGGGGGCAGTGCCACAGGAAAGGGGTTGTCCTGTAGGTGTTTGGGACAGTATTTTTCTGATAATATACATTTTGAAGTTACTTTTCTAAGATAAGACTTTTATCACTGTTTTATATTGAGAGTAGGAGTCATCTATCACTGTACACTCAGTCTTTGACTGTAAGATGATAAGGTTTGTTTACTAAACACTTCAACAATGCAGATTTAACATCTTTTCCTTTGCATGATAAAGTCTCATTAGCAAGCACCTTAGTACATGCCTCCATTAATCCAGGAACCTTTTTCATTCATAGGTACAAATTGATAGCTGTCCTAAGAAAGATTCTGCCTCCAGAGCAAAACCATACAGCAAACTATTCTTCTGGAAGATTTAACAGGAGCAAAACTATCACAGATAAGGTTCCACTTCCAGAAATATTTCCCTGCTATTGCCTTGAGACAAATTCACTGCTGATGTAACCCCATTGACTTCATTTCCATTTTCACTCATCTCTGAAGAATGACTTTGACACACTGGCACATTCATTAAACAGTTGTGGCACGGTTCCTAGTTTGAGAGAACAAGACTAGGAAAATTAAGCTACTGAAAACACAAGAAACCTCTAACAGATCTTAATTCAAACTAAGAACCCTGTCCTAGAGGTAGAGCTTGTTCTAACAGAAGTACAAAAAAATCACCATTTTTCCCCCTCAAAGATACCCATTAATTCACATCTTGTACCCAGATAATATAAAAATAGCAAAATGCCACCTAATTTTGTTGTAATGCTACAGATACCCTATCCCAGAACTATCAATGTCTGTATGTCACAATGTATGTAAATTCTGTTCTCTTGAACATGTGCGCTCTACTTCAATTCCAGACATACACGTCTTTGTGCATTTTCATCACTGTGTGTTTTTAAGACCATTCAATTTCAGTATTTCACAGCGTTTTCAGAAAGAATATGACTGGGAGAGATTTTATGATTACTTTCAATCATTATTTAAGAAATGTGCCAAAGCTGACTACTTAATTTGGATGGAACAAATTTTGATCATGAGTCAGTGTATTCAACTGTTATTCTAATAAGTTAGAACGCATTCATCACATGATGACATGACACTCCTCAGACTTTCAGGAGCACCAGGAAGGGTGCAGGTGACTCAAGGACAATACATGACCTAGCTGATGTGACTATGTTTAGAAAGGAGGACCCCTTGTGTCAGGGGAAGTTTAGACTGGATA